CATTTATTAAGCTTAATAATAATTTAGCCTAAAATTGAGAAATGAATAAATATTAAAACAATTATTTCTTTCGGCCTTACAGCAAATTTCCCTAATAGAAAAAATGTACTTTAAAAACATTAGTTTAGCTCTTTCGAGAGCGAAAGAGTCAGAAATTGTGAAATTTTATGAGGGTTTTTTTGGGGGACAGAGTTATTTAAAGCGCGTAGTGTATTAAAAGGAAATGGGAAGTAAATATTGCTGAACATCACTAATGTACTTGCTCAAGCAATCTCGAAGATAATAAACTGTAAACCAACAACACTCATGGTTATATTGAAGTAAAGCGTTTATCATTACTTTAGTAATATGGGGCAAACACCTAATTTGCAAATGATTCATAGTCTTCAGCTGGAGACTTTCGTTACGATCAGGATTAACATTCCGTTGTAAATTAAACTCTCTCTGCCGATCTTTTTCAGAAAATTTAATGCACATGTAACTAAGCACACCGTTGTTTTACTTCGCCTACGAGCCAAGTTTTTATTAAAAGAATAACTTCCATATCTCGTCTGAATATGAGAGACAATTCCAAAAATGTCTACGAATGGAATTCATTATTCATTTGTCCCGTGAATTTTGAGTCTATGTTCTAGTACGGCGCTTTAGGACGTCAACAAAAGGGATACACGCTTGGCGTAGTCTCTTTTCCTGCTTGCCGCGACGGCGCCAGCGCCAGCAGTTGTTGGGCAAGGAGCGGGCCACCCACACGGTGGGCACAGCCGCCGTCGTCCCAAAATAGAAGTGCGGGCCGAGCCCGTTCTCCACAGGTAAACTCTTGTTAAGACTGTTTGAGTTCTTTTATGTCCGACAATTACTTCCAAGCTGAAAAGCCGCTCCTTTGCTGAAATTGAGAAGACTAACATCTGAAAAAATACGGAACTGCGAGAGATAAGCAGTTCCTAAGAACAAACTTCAATTGAAATTATCTATGAATACGATACGATTTACGAAATACACTAGTACATTGTTTTGAAAATCACGTAAATCTTCATTAATTTATAGGAGAGAACTGAATGCAGGTTCTTCTCTTTCAAACCCCGATATAGAATAATAATTACTATAATTACGTACGGGATGATTCATAAATAAACCAAGTATCAAAAGACAAGACAGAAATAACAACATTGTGGTAAATAACATATAAGCGGTTTATATCTGAGTAGCATGAGAGACTGTCAAGCCATTGCAATTATTATGGAAGAGTACTTCAACTTTCAACTTACATCTACTGTTTCAACCTTGTAGAATCAGAGAATGTGATTTAAGACATTACAAAACTGATCATGAAACGTATATCAACACGGGGCAGAGCTAGTTGTTATTAGGTCATCAGAATAAACGACCTGCCTTTATTCTTGCACCTCGTGGTGCAACGTCATTACGACAACTGTGACAATGTCACAGGCGCGAACTGCTAACGTCAACACGACCTCGACAGTCAACTGCGCGCTCCACCCTGCGAATTCCTGAGACAGCACCGGTTCTGAGACGGTGCTGACACAGCCGAAGTTAACATTGCTGATTCGTGCTCTTCATTAAATAATTAAATGCCAGGCGGACACGCAAAAGTGTTCTAAAATGAGTGGATACGAAATGTCTGTACTCTCTCAAGTCAAGGCTTAGAAAACTCCAAACGGCTTCGTGTAAAATTAAACCCTGTTCAGCAATCTCACCGAGTAGATTACTTTTAACAGCGGTGTTTAAAGAAGCAAATTAAAGAAGCAAATCATCTTCACGTGCTAGCAACCACACGAACTCCCACCCATCTAAAAAAAAATCGACCAATCAACGCCGCCTTCAACGCCACACGTGCAACCGCTCGTCGATCCGCCGTGCCGGTGGCTCAGTGCGCCATTAGCGGAAAGCGAAGCGCCATCTGAGCGTTGCGTCTCGCATCGCTCGAACGAAGCGGCGGCCTAGCAACGCAGCTGCCAGTGCAGAGCGGCCTGCAGCGCCACGGCGTGGGGCGGCACGACGCACCGGCTCATCGACGGCACTCAATGGGCCACAGCGGTGCGACATGCCACCTACGCCAGGTTTTTATTTTTTATTTTTAGAAGGATGAAAGTGAAATACGAGGACGGCTAGAGTTTTTAACACTTCCTCCATGGACATTTTGCGTGCCGTCAAGCTAAGAAAGCCGTATGTAGAATTTATTATTACCAGTAATAGCGGAGTAACAAAATTATCACTTGGAACGAAGCAACTGATGACTTGTTCCACGTTCTTAACAATTACTTTAATGGAGTGAAAGTAATATTTTACACAATTAACTCCAACAGAAATGTCATGGAAAGTTAAAGTTCATTTTCACCAACTAATTTTGATTGGGTATCAAATCATAGACCTACTATTGTGATTGCAGAAATTTGTATAAGAATTGCATTTTTTACGCTTTGCAATGTCACGAAACACTAATTTTGATTTGTAATTAATAAGTATAATAAGTTACTAATTTACGGGATTTTAATATTACATTTCAAATCCAAAATTTGATAAAATTGACAGAATTCTATTCAAAATGCATGAGACTGTTTACAGAAGCGCTTCTATTCGCTATATCGGATACAAGTTGCATTTCGTCGGGTTGCACTGGCAACTCTAATGCATGCCAACAAGCAAGTTGCACTGCAACTTCTATAAGCGCACCGCAGAAATACTCATTATGACTGACAACTACAATAATTCGTACAATCAACGTACGCTTCCATACGACTATCCAATTACGACTATATTTTATATGGAAAATGGTCACTTTTGGAGAGAATCTCTCTCTCTCTCCTTCATACATTCAACTACAATAAACGTATACTTCGGAGAAGCCAATCTCACAAGATGCAAATCGAGCAGTCAGAGAAACGAGGCAAGGGAGACGGACAAGGCGGCTAGGCTGTGTTGACGGCGGCGGCCGCCACGCATCGCAACGCAGGCGACAGTGCCTTGAACTGTGGTCCTCGCCACCAGCCTTCGCGCGAGCTTGACCAGCCTTCACGCGAGCGACCACGGAAGGATGGCGTGACCTCTGTCAAGCGCGCCCAGAATGGCAGTCAAGTTCCCGACCCGATGCGACGCGACCGAGTTCCTTATGGGTGAAATGTGAAGGAACGCGCGGCGTTGATTGCGACAGCAAACTACGGGGATCGCGAACGCAAACACGGCACAGTCAGCGCATGACGAGTACCCTGATTACATCGCCTGGAGCCATGCGCCAGAGGATGCTGCCGACGACGAGACGAGAGTGCTGCGTTCCTTCCGTACTCTCTTGGCAGCACTCGCCGCAATCGTTGGGATAATTTAATGGCGACTGCCAAACTCAAGACTCAAATGGTCTTTTAAAATTCTGCCGACTGCATTGAAGGTTCAGCAACCTCGCAGTCTGAGCAATTTCACAGCTGCCGCTTGTCATTAACTTAACAACTAAGTGTTGAGGATAATTACTAGTTACTTGCGTTTCATATTGGTGTACGACACGGCTTCGTAGTAGGCAGTACGTTTCTATTTTCGGTTTATTTTTCGTTCCTAATTTGAAGATTCACTGCTTCGGGAGTCCAGTAAACGACGCGGAGGAACAATGAGGAGAAAGTGAGTAATGCTTAACTGCTGAAGCAAGGAAAGCGAATCGGCAAACCGGCTTAGTTGTCGAGTACAAATATTTGCAGAGCGTCACAACTCTTGCAAACAATGGCGTGCACTGCACGACCGGACTTCGTCAACAATGCGAACAAAGGGCTTCGTGTTGCTTGGAAATCTCCCGAACTTCGATATGCACGATATCAATAGCTGTCTCTCCCACATTCGTAGAATGAGACCGGAAAGGAAGTGACTCACAAAGACCGAGATAAAATCTCATCAAGTCACAAGTTTGTGGACGTGCATTGAAACAGAGCCCAACAGATTTAATCAACTCTAGTAGACCGTCACCGAGAGCACAGATGTCCAGGCAGAAGCTGCTGTGACCTATGGAATTCATTACTACTACAAAAAATATGAGCAATAATTCCCTATCCAGCGTCATAAACCCAGACACTCAGCGCAAGGTCAAGCTCAGTCGCAAATATTAACGAGCCGTTACAATGACGTCGAATGGTCTCTACGAGTCCCATTTGAACTGGAGCACAGTTTGCATGCAGATGAACTGGTTTGGAACGAGCAAATAATCAAGAGCGTGACTTAATCTTTGCAGCGTCTCCAATCTCTGTCAAGAACGCCAAAGCCATTCCCTGTAATGACAAAATACTTTTCTACAAACAAAAATATTAATTTATAATGATTTTTTTTTTCAAATGTACGCAACTGTTATTTGTTTCAACTTTTCGTCTCTACTTCTCTGAAACACTGTATTATTGAAATACCTTCAATTGTGTGACAAGCTGAAAACAAACGCTACACTCCAAAAGCTACTTTTGGCAGAAAATAAAGAAATCGTGAACAAATAATAGCGAAGGTAACCTCCGAGCGCACTGCACTAACAAGTAGTATTGTGGCATTTGATGCATAAATTCTTTTAACCATCTCAAGAGAGAGAAATTTGGAGACAGTGCCTGAAAATGAATTGTGCAAAGGGTGTTAGGACAACGTTTAACGTAGAGATAAACAAGACCATGTAAAAAGTACCACCCTTTGAACGCCCGTTAGCTTCTCGCGGAATCTCCATTTGTCCTGCGCATCACCCTCACACCCACCCACCATCAAGTTTAGAGCCGCTGCGCCCCACGGAGGCTAGCCTCCTCGGGTGGCGCCGCGCCACGTTCGGAGGCGCCGGCTGAAAGCGAATCCGTTCCGATTTCCACCACCCCTTCTCCCCGGTGGCCGCTCCACTAGAACCGGCCGCGCGGGCGTTCGAAGCCCGACGACGCCCCACGCGCCCACTTTCCCGCTGGGCGAGCGAACCTCAGACCGCCCCCGCCCCCTCGTGGCAGCTGCTTCCGACGGCTCTTGACCTACAGCGCGAAACCGGGCTAAGGGTCCGTGGCCTCCGCTCGGAAGTCGTGGCCATCGGCGACCGCCGGAGCAAGAAGAGTGAAGCGGCAGCACAAACTACTACTCTGCGTCTCGGAAGCGCCAACGGCAGTACATAGAGGCAGAAACTTTCCCTTGAAGTTCCATGAGATGACAATTAGGGCAGACGTATGGACAATACTGGCTCAACAACTTTAAATTTATTAACTTTATTATGCAGTCCAACCACTGACCAGGAATTTAAAAAAAATGCTCACCGGGCCTCGCAAGTAACAAATAAAGTAATTTAGTCGATTGCTCTCAAACGTTTGTTGGATCAAAGTGTCTGAAAATTTCTAAATTGGAAAATAAATTCCAATTGTACTATGTGCGAACTCAGAGAATGTATAGTATTGTTTACAAAATGAGATACTACAAACAATGATTTTATAAGCTCTGATGCAATGTGCGAAGCTGTTTTAAAAACAGTCAGTAAATAATTGGGCATTACGTAACTATACCATGTTCAAGACATATCGTTTTATTGGTTCTTTTATCTTCATTTTATCACAAAAGGTAATATCATTGTGTTGACATTTTCATACGCTTATCAGCAACTTCGCGTGTTGATCGACTCAACAATTAGCCACAACCGATGATCACTTGAATATCCACACCCACATCTAACTAACTTACTAACGCCAGACTACGATGTCTGATTTTCAGGTTAACGAGGGCAGCAAAAAATACGAAATCAATCAACACTCGCAACCAAACGAAACCAAAACCACAGAAGCATCGCCCTCATTCCATCACTTTTCCCCCTCGCTTAACTATACACTTTCCCGGAGAAATGCAATTGGACATCTATCTGTCCGAAATCCGACCATCTGCTGCGAGATGAGCCGAGCCACGGGAGCGGAGAGAGTGACGAGGGGGAGGAGGCTGCTAGTCCAGTTCCATGAGGCGGCCCCGCGGCGTCGCGTCTCGAAGTGAAAACAGCGCCCGAGGCTTGAGAATAATGCCGATGGCCCGCGCGCCCAAGTGGGCTACGCGAAGCGCCCACGGCTAAACTGTGCGTTCCGCAGAACCTTTTTTATTTTCTCTGTCGGCGGACGGCCTATTAAGTCGGGAGGCAACATAGTAAAGGGGGTTTGCACTATTTATATGTTGGTTACCTTCAACATGAATCATTTTTCAATGAGTGATAAAGTTTCCCAACGCAGAAGTTTCAGTGAAACAATGTGCAAGCCGGATTGATACCACCGATTATTTAATGCAAGCCGAGATCACCTCGCGTTCCCGGGTATTTATTTATCTCTATATTGCATTAGTGAGGGAAAGGAATATATTCTATCTGAAGTAAAAATGGAAGTAAGTTTACTATCTTTCCCACAGACTCCTCTCAGCTCCACCCCCAACCCCATCTCGCAGTTCCCACTAAGTTCCGTCCGCAATTTGACTCTGCCCCTAAACTGGCCCGCCCTGCTCCCCATTTCGGTCCACAACGCAATCCCTAAAAACATAAATGCACTGAGGGGTTGCGTTACATCAACTTTTGTATAAAAAAACTAAGTATAAAAGAAAATTGGAGTAACATTTGAGCAACTTCATTTAGTTTTTATTTTTATTTTTTATTTATTTATTTTTTTGGCTCAGAAACATTCGTACACAATTTGAAATTGCTCTATTGTAGTTTTATGTTGGAACAAATACCTATCCACATACATTCCGAAGTCTCGAGCAGTTTCCTGTCACTAGTAGACGCATAGGGATGCCTGGCACCCGCACTCTTATTTCTAATATTACGAATAATTATATTCTTTTTATATTTATTCTTCATGTAATTTATTCAATTTCCGTAAATATTGTTAATTTATAAAATCTGAAATGTATAAATTAATTTTCTTTCGAATATTGCATTCTATTTTAAGCACATTAACGCGTAATTTTTTTTTTTTTTTTTTTTTTTTTTTTTTTTTTTTTTTTTTGAAGGGAAGGTAAAAAAGTTGTTGAAAGGTACTGCAAATTCCAGAAGAAAAGGACAACACTATTATTTTATTTAGCAGCTATCACCAATGTTCTGGGGATGCTGATAGTCCCCACGCTACTAAAGAGTTAAGTATCTCTTTCTATTACTTTCATATGAACATTTGTTGCGATTGGATCCAATTTCAACGAACTGTCAAGTAATAAGTAAAAACAAAATGCTTAACTTTCAACCGACGCTAACGCACGTGGACGCCCCACCGCTGGGAGGAGCGGGTGAGCGAGAAGCCAAGCAGGCCATCAGCTGACCACTCGCACGCTGGCGGCTAGGTGTCACGGGAGAAAGTGGACTTCATTAACGCGCAGAATCGCGTCAGCTGTCGAAGTCAGATTTAACGACGGAAAGTTTGCAATGTTGTACGGATATTTCGGAGAGTACAGGTCTGCATGTTATTCCAGGTAGCTCGAGAAGAAACTGTGCAGAAGTACTTTTATTGGTACTTTAAATTGAAATTACCACAGGACGGCATCACATGGCAGTAGCCCTTTCACTTCTCTCACTTTGTCTTCAAGAAACTGCAAGCGAATAATGTATTTTAAATGTGACCTAATCACGCGTTATTGTAAAAAAAATATTAAATAACAAATAAACTAGTATAATGGTTCGCCAAATTTTAACAAAAATGCCTTTTGCTTGACATTAAAGGTAAATAAACAATAATTAATTTTTCCGGGCCTCGTATTCTGTAATAGATCTTCTATAGTAAACCACTTAGTACGTAAATTGCGAACTTTCATTGATAGTTGACATATGTTACAGATTTCAAGATCGTAAAATAGACTAATAAATTTAATAAATAACCAAAATAAATAAAATCTTACGGCTTTCAGACCATTTCATTACAGAAGATGCTGTTAACTCAACCGCGGTTCAATACTAATGGAATCAAATAACGGTTGAGAATATGAACCCACCTAAAACTGAATATTAGTCAAATTAATACATTAATGTACTCTAGTTTTTGGCTCATGTCATACACCAGAGATAAATTACCTATATAACTACGAAAAAGACTGCTTTACGGTTAAATTAGCAAATCAAAATAACAAGAAACGTGAAAACCGCGAGAAAAAAATGTATTAGAAACATGAAAAGAACGCAATAATGCAGGTTTTCGAGTTTCAGGGAACGCAGAACGCAGTCAGGTTCTCTCCTTTCAAAAAGAGCGTTCGCTGACGCCGCTCGGCTCGCGTGCACATCGTACGATCGCGACAGAGCGACGCCTTGTCTTCTGCAATCGTCGCAGCCATCCACTGCTTTGCATAAGACACGCTCCTTTCTCTGCTCTCGCCCGCGCTGTAACGTTACGCGCACGAAATCAATGCGGAGATGGAAGCGGATAGCGCGGCGACGCACTCCGAAGCCGAACGCGATGCCCCGCGAGCGAATCACAGCTTCTGATGCGCTGCACCTAGCACCGGCAGCAGAAAGGGAAGAGCACATCCCACAAGGTAATCCACGTTCTCAAGAGAAGAAGGCGCCGTGGTTGTGCTTTGTGAGATAGAATAAGAGAAGCGATTACAGATCAACACATAGGAAGGAATTGTCACGATGTTACAGTAATGTAACTTAACCGCAATGATTCCTGTCTTAACCTTTCCAATGATAAACGTCCTCTTGCTCCGCATTTAATTACAACAGTAACTTTCCAAGTTGATACATTGAGACAAACATTCCCTGTATTTGTAGAGCAATCGAGAAATGGTGTAACTCTGAATAAATATTTCTCACATTAAGCATGCGATTCAATGATAACTCGAGATTTTCACGCATTTGAGACCCATTCGCTATTTCAACCGCAGCGTCAAAAAAATGTAATTGTTTACTTTTAGCGACAATGGAACTATAAACACTATTTAGTTCCGTTCTATGAATAAATTATGTAATATATTAACTATGGATTGCCGAATAGTCCATATACGCCTAACTGTGCAAAAATTCCAGTAACACCTATATCGAAAGGCATCTGCTGTCCACGAAAGCTCAAGTTTTAAAACAGAATTATGCTTAACCTTAAATGCTTCCACTCAGCAAATGCAATTGCAAACCAGCCGTTAATTACAGCATCGGGTTGCGGAAAACCTAAAAATGTACTGCACAGAACATCTATTCCAAACACCTAACACGCATTTCTGCCAGACGAGGTTTACCTAAACAACCATGTACTCCAGCACTCTGAAGTCTCGTTACAGACCATCAACAGAGAGAGCAGGGAGAGCAGAGGAAGCCGGCACCTCCCGCATCAAAACCGGTCACCGCCCCCCGGCCGCAGCGAACAACAAAGGGGTCCGGAGCCCAATAAAAAGCGAGGAGGAAGCGGGGCCTCCGGTAGGCGCCGTTACGCGACACACGCGCCGCGCCGCCTCCCGC